CTCGCTCACGCTCACTCACACGCTCACTCACTCACACGCTCACTCACTCACTCACGCTCACTCACACACGCTCGCTCATGCACACTCACGCACACGCACACGCTCACTCACTCACACGCTCACTCACTCGCTCACTCACACGCTCACACACACGCTCACTCAAACACACTCCCTCACACGCTTACGCTCACTCACGCACACGCACTCACGCACACGCACGCTCACTCACACACTCACGCACACTCACACTCACGCACACTCACAGTCACAGTCACGCACAGTCACAGTCACGCACACTCACAGTCACGCACACTCACAGTCACGCGCACTCACAGTCACGCGCACTCACAGTCACGCGCACTCACAGTCACGCGCACTCACAGTCACGCGCACTCACAGTCACGCGCACTCACAGTCACGCGCACTCACAGTCACGCGCACTCACAGTCACGCGCACTCACAGTCACGCGCACTCACAGTCACGCGCACTCACAGTCACGCGCACTCACAGTCACACAGTCACGCGCACTCACAGTCACGCACTCACAGTCACGCGCACTCACAGTCACGCGCACTCACAGTCACGCACTCACAGTCACGCGCACTCACAGTCACGCGCACTCACAGTCACGCACTCACAGTCACGCGCACTCACAGTCACGCGCACTCACAGTCACGCACTCACAGTCACGCGCACTCACAGTCACGCGCACTCACAGTCACGCGCACTCACAGTCACGCGCACTCACAGTCACGCGCACTCACAGTCACGCGCACTCACAGTCACGCGCACTCACAGTCACGCGCACTCACAGTCACGCCCACTCACAGTCACGCACACTCACGCACACTCACAGTCACGCACACTCACAGTCACAGTCACGCACAGTCACAGTCACGCACACTCACAGTCACGCACACTCACAGTCACGCACACTCACAGTCACGCACACTCACAGTCACGCACACTCTCTCTCTCTGAGTTCAAGCATTAGTCAAAATCATCATATCACGTGTAAATACTGTGTGTCTCTGGTACCTGTCTGTGATTCGGCCTGGACTCGCTCACAGGACTTTTCTGTCTGGATCAAAACACACAGATCAGTCATTACCGACACAAACACATCACAGTATCGCTATCGGACGACTGAACGTCTGCTTACCTTGTTATGGTCATTTAAAGGCCTGTTAACAGACACACAGTGCCTGATTTTACTACAGGAGAGACGGAGACAGACATATTAACATGTGAACACACGATCAAACTAGAGTCACCTGACCCTCGGCCAGCAGGAAGCCGAATTACATTTCTTCAGAAATAAAAATAAACACGTTTGTTTTGAAATGAAGCTGAAATCAGTCATTTGATTTTCTGAAGGAACTTTAAAACATTAAAGCAGAAAGACAGAAACGCTGCCTACCCTCCCTGTCCAATGACAGGCATCATCTTCACATTCTGCTGCACACTGTCTCCGTTCTTCTTTTTGGCATAATAAACCCCCTGCCACTCCTGAAACACACACACACACACACACACTTGTGACAGAGGATCTAAACAGCATACAGAAGCAGGTCTCAGGTCTGACGGAGAATCAAAGTTCAACCCCTGTGTGATGAAAGTCCAGCGTCTGCGGCTTCAAACGCTCCTCCAGCTGAGTGTGTGTGTGTGTGTGTGTGTGTGTGGTGTTCATGACCTTTGTGTCGTGTGAAGTGATACAGCAGGACTGTTTGCACATTAAACACCATGTCTTGTTCGGACTGTTTGTGCCCTCTGTGGATTTCCCAGAGTTCTCTGCTGCTTACTACTGACATTATTCACAGGATAAGTGTGAACACACTACTCGCACTATTTATACTACAAAACGTAATAGAATAGTGCATAAGTACGTGATTTGGGACGCACCTTATGAAAACCCATGCGACGGTCGGCCTGTATCACAGCCTGGGTCAATTTCTGAATGTTCATCAGAACCTTTTTAAATGAACGCCAGATGTGTGTGTG